TTATTAAAACATATAGTTTTAAAATAATTTTTTTAATATTTAGAATATAAAGTAAATAAATATTATTCTTTTATTTTATTACAATAAATTTTTATTTTATAGAATAATTATTAAAAAATTAATTATTTTTATTTAAAAACTTATTCATAATATAATATATATAAAAATGTAACGTGCATAAAGTTATTGCCCCAAAAAAAATTGCGATCCGAGTTTAAATCGGAAAACTCCGACCCGAATCATTGCAGAACCGTCTCACACGTGTGTGACGGAAACCGGATACGACGTTGTCTTGGAACAGAGAAGGCGGCCTCACTCCGGGGAGAGCTTTCGCCATGACATACCCTGGGCTCCCAAATTCTTCTGCAGGTACACTTTCTCTGTAATGTCGATTTTTGTTCCTCTGCTCCTTTGTAAAAAAAGAAACTTTTTACATTTATTGTTTTGATTTACAGGCGCTGCTCTTGAATCCCGGAAAAGCCAACACAGTCTCCTTGTCGTGTAAAAAAGTTATGATTTTCTATGTTTCTCTCTCGTGCTCCTTCGCCATTAATTACTACCCGGGTTTCAGTTTCGGTTCTTCCTTTGAAAAACCCTTTTGGGCCGATTTTCAGTTCCTTTCGGAGAAGGGATTTTGTAGTGAGGGCGGAGTCGAGTCCTGAAGGTGAAGTTGAAGCTGTTGAAACCAATGGCGAAGGAGCAGAAAAAGTAGAAGTAGGGTAGGGAGCTGAAGTGGAGGCAGGTTTGGAAGGAGAGGTTGGGATTGAAGAGAGAGAAATGGAGCCAAGAAAACCCCGCATTAAGCTTGGGGAGGTTATGGGGGTAATTTAGTTTTTGGTATTTTGCTTATGTTATGTTGAATGTGTTCATTACTTACTGGTTTTGGTTGCTTAATGTAGTTATTGTCAGGTTAGAAAGTTTGAAGTTGTTGTCCGACGGACTCAAATTTCACAACTTTTTGGAGTTCATTGTTGTTTGGTTGCTGATATAAAAGGTGAAATAGTGAAGAGAATTGAAGTTTTAGGTTTTCATTTTTTGAGTCGGTTGGAGAGTAGACAAAGTTTAATTGTCTGCTGAATATGGAGCTGAGTTCAGAACTTTGTGGTCAGCTTGGTTTCTGAAAATTTGTACTACAAAAAACCAAAAAGCTTTGTTCATTTTTCTTAGATGAGAGTTCAAAGAGCTTCTATCAAGCTTGTCTTCACAAATTTGTCCACGAGCTTTGTTCATAGCATAAATTAGCTGAAATTATGTTCAAGTTTGTTTCTTAGAACCAAAAAAGGAGAATGGTCTAGATTACTGCCTCTTTCCCGTACTGGTAAAAGAGACAACTCCCTTTATTGATTCTTCTCTTTCTTTTGTTGGTTTCTTTCTCATTAAACATACCAGACTTGGTGCTCTTTGATTTTCTATTTGGCTTAAGATTGTGTTTCTTTTTTTGTAGATATTGAATGGACAGGCCATTGAAGCATCACAGATTGAAACGCCCATTCCAGATCCCAGGACCGATGATATTGTGGAGATCAAATTTGTACTGGTCTTTCACAGCTTTCTTAATGAATGATTTGTTAGATTTTCAAGTGGTCTTTTTATTTTTGGTTTATGTGCTTGACTTACAGGAAGTTCCTGAAACTAGGCATAGATTGTCTATCTACAAAGGTATTGTTATGTCAAAGCAGAATGCTGGCATCCATACTACCATCTGTATTCAGAGAATTATTGCAGGCATCGGTGTTGAGATTGTATTCCACATGTGAGTATATCTTCCACGTATGTTAGCATGTGAAATTTCTAATGGGTGATTCTTATGTACCATCTTGCTATTATATCTTTTAGCACCATTGTAAATTACTAATCAGGTGATTCTTAGTTGTTTCAGCTGTTAATTGTTTACCACCCATGGTCCCACTTATAACAATTCTTTAAGCCTTCTCCACATTACTCTGTTACTTTGTGGTCTAGGTAAAGTTTCACAAGGTTGGGAAGACAAAAATTTGATACCCTTTAGTTTCTGTATTGGTTAGGCAATAATCACTTATACTGGTTTTGGAAGGTCAAAATAATGTGGCTGATGTGCATTCCAATCTGTCTTTTACTCCACCCTGCTGAATGTATAGAATTCAGTGGAAAATTTGGAAAATACCTACCAACCCTTGAGCAAATGGTTTTCAATTTTCAAGATAGAGCCTCCATTTGTGTAGAATTTCATTATAAAAGAAATCTTCCAAGGAAACTGATGTAAATGATATAACTTAGGGTACTGTGCTACCCCCGTGGAAAAAGTCTACAAAGCTGAAAAGATAGTGAAAGGTCACAGTGCTGAGATTGGAGGTTGAATGGTTAAACAAGATTGAAACTAGTTGCCGCAGTTTCACACCTCTATAAAGAACTTATTCAGTTAACTAAACGACAAATTGCAGTAGAAATCCTTATTAAAGGGTTTGATGATCTTAAATCTCGTCCTTTATTAATCTACAAAAAGCTAGATGGAAAATGCACGTTTCATGTTCTGCAATCCATATTCCACCTTTTTTTGGCCATGCCATATGTAGGTTTTTATGCATATATTGAAAAGAATGAATTTAATCATTATATTCTTGTGATTGGCATGCTTCAGTACCAGGCAAATTTCGAGTCATGGGATTTGTTTCTCGTTAAAGTTTCTTTCAACAGCATTCTTACTAGATATACATTCTGATCAATCTTTTCCCCTCAATTAATATTTACAGTTACTCCACAAAACATCAAGGAAATTAAAGTGGTCAGTCACAGGAAGGTCAGGAAGGCAAGGCTGTATTATCTAAGAGAAAAGCTTCCCAGGCTTTCCACTTTCAAGTGAAAGACATGTATGCATTCATTCTCCAGTTCTTTCATCTTCCATACACTTTTTCAATCACGGATATCTTCTTTTTGTACAAGTTGTAATCATAAATTTTTCACATCTCCATTTATGTACTCATTGCTTCAAGCTATTAATGCAGTTCTTTTCCAACTGTGATGAATGGAACTTCTTTTGCTCCTCTTGTATATCTGTTAGAAAATGAGGGAATGAATGTGCCTTTCATTATCCAGGCAAGATACAGCCCATTGAATGTTGCCATCAAGTAGTCCATGTTCCCATTTTTTGTACATGTATTTAATATTGTCATGAATCATGATTAAGCTCCATTAATTATTAGTTTAATGGATGACATTGTCCCTTAAGAAAAATGGAATTTTTTGCGTATAAGCAACTTCTATTCAACCATTTTTTTTCTCCTCTGATGTGTATTTCTACCCACCTCAATTTATTATTTATTTATTAATAAAAAAACAATATTATCCATTTGATTAGAGAAAATAGCTAAACCAAATAAGTTTTTTATACTATTTGTAATGTATTTTAAATAAAAAAAATATTAGTTTGATCAAAAAGTAAAAAAGCAAAATAAAAATATATTTCCCAATTTGTACTTATACCAAAAAAAAAAAGTTGGGCTATAAAATTATTAAAAAAATCCTTAAGCCTCACAAATTAAAAAACCTACACAGGTTCCTAAGGGCCCCTAATAAACTAAAAAAATTTATACTTAATAATTTTAAAATCAAAACTACACTTTCAATATAGATACACCGACGTAAAAAATAAAAAATAAAATCCCGAAAGAGAAAAATTACGAAGAAGAAAAATACGGTAAAACTTGGGTACGTGAGTACGTCCACTTTGAATAAATACTTTTTGTGCAAGAATTGAAAGAAAGAATCTTTACAGGGAGGCCGACACGTCAGTTCCAACCTTTCATTTTGTGCCACGTAAGTGGGTCCCACCTTCAGACTGTTTCTTTCTTTAGAACCGGACTTCACCCCCTCATTTGCCCGACACGTGTGTTCTCATTCTTTCCCACCCACGCTCCACCTCTCTCCCTCCGCCTTCCTCCGCCTCACCCAACTCCTCCACCTTTCTCTCCGATCTCCGAGACAAAGCATCTCTTCTTTTTTCTAAGCGTGATCTCAATCGGACCGGAGAACTCCGACTTTGCCGGCGAAGATATCGGCGGTTCTTCCGAGAAAAGGAACTTCGATTTTGGACCGAGCCAGTGTCACCACATGTCAGTTCCTCATTCAACCTCTGAGTTTCTTAATTATACGGTGCTTGATATTAACTCCTTTTCTCTCTTCCTAAATGGAAAGTGAAATCTCTGTTTCTCCTCCTTTCTCTCTCGTCTCTCAAGTTTGTAAAATGATTGTTTGATTTTTGAGGCTTAGGGTTTTGCTTCCTGGAACTGTTTTGTATGTGGCAGATTGTTGTGCGCGGTTTGGTTTGAAGTAGTGAGATCTGGCGGTGGAGTTCGGAGTTAGGACCAGTATGACTGCCGGCGGCGGTAATCAGTTGATCTCTGTTCAACCCAACGACCTGAAATTCAATTGTACGCATCACCTCTCTTTCTCTCATTGTATTTATAAATTTATCTTTGTTTATGTCTTCATCTATGTGAAGAATGTTTTTATTTATGTTCACCGGAAATGTTTTTATTTATGTTCACCGGAGGTGAACTTTGCATATGTGGAATTCTATGGTTGATTTCATTAACTAGATCATTTTAGAGGCAAGGATTATATTTTTTTTTTCTCAAATGTATGGTTTTTGATAGCGGTGGCAACTAATTAGTCAAGGAAAAGGAACGGATTTTTGGAAAATTCACGGTACAATTCTTATGATAATGTGATTTTGTTAGAATATAATTGTGAGGGCAAAAAGGCTTGATATGCATGTTGGTCCTCGAGTGGATAATGGAGATTATGATCTACTCCAGAAGCTATGGACGCAACAAAATCGTGACAAATGAGATTAGCTAAATGTACTTAGCCTTTGAAAAGCTAATGGATTTTGTTATTCATTCAATGTTTGTTCGTTCCTTGTGTTGTGGTTGTGGATATTCTGTAGGATCCTGTTGTGGTGGAACCAGAGGATGTGTGGAATTTTAGCCTAAATAAATTTCATGATTCAGAAACATGTTATGATTTCATTGCAAACAAATCCAATATGCCTACCATTCTGTCTATATTAGAAGGAAAGATGAACTCAGGCTGTTAAGGTGTTATCAATTATAATCCCTTAGTTATTGCTTGTTGGTAGATCCTTCATTTCTTTATAATGCAAGTAAAATTTATTGTAAATGTGATTATCATTGTTCATTTAAAATTTTGTTTGAAAAGCATATTGAACTTATAATAATGATTTTATATTGTCAGTTGAGCTTCAAAAGCAAAGCTCTTGTGACCTCAAGGTTGTGAACAACACAGAACACCATGTTGCTTTTAAGGTACTGTTTCTGTTAGCATAGAGATGTTAATAAAGTAGCGAGAAAGTGCATTCTCTATACATTTCAGGGTTTATTTGACTGTTTGAATTTTTTTTTTTCTGAACCTCTCATTTGATAGGTTAAAACAACTTCACCTAAGAAGTATTTTGTACGACCAAACACTAGTGTTGTACAGCCTTGGGACTCAACTGTCATTAGAGGTACTACACTTTCAAAACCATTTCCATTTTTTGTTTTTTTTTGAATTAAGAAATTCATTGTCAAATTTGGATAATGCAGTTATGGATTTAAGAAATCTCCTTGCTAGCTTCTTATGATCTATATGGTTTGCCTACTCATATACTGATTCTGTTGATGAGTTTATGGGATTTGGGTCTGTGATACTTGATTTTAATGGACTGCATTAATAACAGTTACCCTCCAAGCCCAGAGCGAATATCCACCATCTATGCAATGCAAAGACAAATTTCTTCTACAGAGTACTATTGTACCTGCACATACTGATGTTGATGAGCTAGCGCCAGACACTGTAAGAATACTTATGAGAATAGTCTATTCTGTTTTACTAGCTTGATTATATTGTTCTAACTTCTAAGACAACATTGATGTTGGACATATGGTCTTTATCCCTTTCTCCAGTTTAATAAGGAGAGTGGTAGGGTGATAGAGGAGTGCAGGCTTAAAGTGTTCTACATACGGCCAAATTCAACTTCAGAAGATGAAGGATTAAGAAACTCCACACAAAGCCCTGATTCAAATTCTGTAAGTTTAATTGTAGTGCCAAATTTTATGTCTTCTTTTTGGGTTATTCATGGAACCTTTGTGCGTGCGTGTGCACAACCTCTTAGTGGGCATATATCTAAGTGTTAGCTTGCATACAAGATGTTTTTGGGTGAGACCTGGATGCAAAACTCTGAGAACCTAAATCAAAGAATCTGTTGTTATCTTCCCAATCGAAGTGAACTAAAGCATGAGCTTGAGAATTCTTGATGGATTCATAATCTTTTTATCTTTATACCTAACATTTTTTGCTTTGTATGTTAAATAGGCTTTACAGTGCCTGAAGGATGAAAGAGATGCAGCAGTTAAACAAACAATGCAACTGCAACAGGAAGTGGTATGTGACCCTGCTAACTTTTTTGGCTTTGATGATTTCATGCAAATATTTCCTAAAGTGCTACCAGTGACATGATGGCCCTTAAATTTTGAATAATGTATGCTTTTGGGGTGATCCAACCAATGGACCAAAAGGAAAATTTTAGAATTAAAGAATAATTACAAACAATCACTGTCTTCCTTAAGTAGGCCTTTGGGATATATGACAAATCTATTGAAATCTTCAGGACTTGATGAAGAGACGGAGACATCGAAAAGGTGACGCGGGCTTCTCTTTCACTTTTGCAGTCTTTGTGGGACTCATTGGAATCATGGCTGGCTTTCTCTTGAATCTTTCCTTGTCTTCAACACCAACGGAATGAATCTACCACGTTACAACAATGGGAGTAATTTTTTTTCCTTCTTTCAATTTGTCTGTGTAATTAATTCCTAGTCCTCGGTGGGAAGGAAAGTTCCCATCTCTTCCCTTTGTACATTTGGTTTGCGGATCATGTCTTGATGATCACTTCATTTGCTGAAGTACATTTATTTCCCATTAACAATGCTCACTTGGAATTTACACTCTTCGCTGAACATCTCTAAAACCCAAGATTAATTAGGTTGGAAGTGAAGGAGGAACTCCAACTTGAGATTTTCGTTTCCCTCGTCTACTTAAAGTTTAAAATAAAGGTATTGTCTAATATGTACAATAAATGGTGCAACAAATGTGTATTTTGCAATTATTTTACATGGAAAAATGTAAGAGATAATTTTTATTTTAATATCATTGTCACATGAATAATTTTATTTAGTAAATTAATTAAATTAAAGTTAATATTTATATTTTTCAAATGCACAAGTTAATTGTAAAAATGTTACACTTGTACACTCAACATATTAGAATAATTTTTAAAATAATTAAAGGAAATGTAGACAAGAATTTAAATAAAGAAAACTTATTTTCTCCACTCTCCTGGGCCCTCCCTTTTTTATTTTTTTTTGAAACTTATCCAAAGGGAGCCTCACCCTCTTCCCCCTCTCCATTCCCCTCACAAATGTCTTTACAATTATTATATAAACTACATTTTTTATATAAAAAATAAGAAAAATAAAATAAAGCTTCTTGGGCTTAATTTTAGAGCTGATCACGGCTTAGAATAGAAAGGCTGCAGCTTTAGCCCTTACTTGAGACCCGAAATACTGGGCCGAGTCTTGAAGTAAAGAACCGAAGACAATATTGGCGGGAGTTCCACACGTACGAAAAATCTCAAAATCCCATTCGCATCACGTGCCGTATTCCCGCCTCTCTCTCCTCCACATTTCCCATTTCTGCAGAATTCTAATTCCTTCAATACCCCAAATACCTAAACCCCTATTGGCGCATCTCCTCCTCTTTGCAGAAACTCTTCATGCCGCCAGTTGAATCGGAACCCTCCGGCTTACTCACCTTCCCGTCCGGCGACGTACAGAAGTCATGGCATCTTCTGGGACTTCTCCTCTGCGTCGGCAAGCCCACCCCTCTCCCGGAACTCGCTTCCAGATGCACACTCTTCCCCGCAGATCCGACTCTAATCACGTATCTCTGCTCTATCCCTGGTTCACCGATCTCACTGACGAGCCACTATTTCGTCACTCTTTCTGTAGTAGGCCTGTCTGCTTTAAATGCTTATGTAGCCAGAACTTTCGGTCTTGCGGATGCTTTCTCCTGGCCTCCAATTTTGCTTAGAGATTCTATGAGTCTTTTTCCTAGGAAGAGGAAACGAATTGGTAAGTGGAATAGCTGGAAGAACGCTTGTTATATGTAATGTTCTGAATTTTGTGTTTGTCTGTTTGGGCGCCACTGATTTTCGGTTGTGGATCTTGCAGAGGATGATGAAGATAGAAGGCTGGTGCTGTCGTTGAAGAGAGTTCAATATGATTGTAGAACTACAAAGGTATTCTCTTTCCAAGCTAAAAAGATCTGTTAGTTGTCTCGTTTTGTATATGATGATTTAGATCTTAGCAAATTTTCTCCCAGTACTGATTTAGGAATTACTCCCATACTTCGATCTATAAGACTTATCATGTTACTTTGAAAGAAAACCATCTTAAATCGCAATTGCAGTCTCACTGTTACCCTTATGAACCCTAAATCTAGTTCTAGTTTAAGTGTTCTGTTAACAAAGTTACAAAATTAATTTTGAAAATATACTATTGCCAATAGCTATTGAGTTATATCAGCTATGCAGGTACATGGTCATGTAACTAATGATATCAGCAGGATTATACTGCCAATTAACTTGTCAGTTATGGTAAATCAAGGGTTGCTCAGACCCTCCTTGCTTGCCGAACCCAGTGCAGCACAATTAAGTTGTGAGGTTAAGGACGTAAGGGATGTTGAAGATGAAATAGATCTAAACAAAGTCCCTGAGGAATTAGCACTTTGTGAGCCTGGTCCAGAATTGGGCCTTCCAGCTAGAATATTGGATCGGGAGTGTGATATCAAAGAAGAAGTAAATACTTGTTCCAGATGGGGTTCACAATATGCTGAACAGATCTATATATCACCTGAAGGGGCTGGAAATGTTAATGGTAGTTGTGAACCAAAATATGTTAGAGTGATCAGCCAGGAAGCAGCTATTGGTGGCGGAAACAGAGAACAGGATACTCATTTGACCTGTCTGAAGCAGGAAATTGATGAGCATGATCTGGCTGGTGGTGATTTGGAGGGTATTAAAAGGGTTAACGTCAATTCTAAGATGCCATTTCAGAATGAGGATCCCACTGCAGATGTAGGCTCTAGAGATAATTGTTTGGTTGCAGAGCTCTCTGCTCTCAAGCAGCAGCTGTCAGAACTGTCTGCCAAGAAGAAGAGTGCTTGTGTGGATGCAGTAGTGGATCCAGAATTGCCAGCTCCGAAGAAGAATATAGGGCATTTCAAGGCTGTTTATTCTTCCAGAAAAAAGCAGCATTTGAAAGGAGATCACACATCAATCCCAGTGGCGCATCAATCAGATCAGAAAAATGACATGAATATTAAGGAAAGAAGGGTGACCTCTACCTCTATTTCTGCGAAGGTCAGCTCACTTCTGTATTTTCACCATCTATCTTTGCTACCAGTGAGGTCTTCCTAGGCTTATGAAGACCGACTAAGTTGCTTGCTTAAGAACACCCACATGCACAAGTTTTTCGAGCAAGCTGTTGCTAGTTATAAATATAGATTGTTGTATCTATCAGAGCTGCTATATTCATCATTACATTACTTTCCAGAACCTACTGTTTTCTTCCACCTCTCTTTTGTTTCAGCTATCATTTAAAAGCCATTGATGCTTGCTTTGCAGGATCAACCAAAGCCAAAAGTGTTGCCTAATTTTGAATCTTACATTGTGGAAGATGAAGAAGGTTCAGGTAATGGAGCTTTGATTGTTTCTTGTTTTGCTGTCACATCTATGCCAATTTTGTTGATTAATGAAGGTAAAATTCTGAACGGCAGGTGGTTATGGCACAGTCTACAGGGCACACCAAAAGGATGATGGCACTCTAGTGGCCATTAAATGTAAGGAAAATTTTACCATGACTGCTCAGATTATCTGAATGGTCTCAATTGATGATTGGACAGATAAATGTGTATCAACAATGATGAGATGTTACTTAATTTCTACAGAAACAAGTTTAGAACCTGTTATTTGTCTTCATTATGCAGACCTGTTTAATTGTGCTCCTTTCAAAATATTAACTTAGTGTAAGGGAAAGCTTTCAGGCAAATTACATTCTCACCCTTGTTTTTGTTTATTAAGATATTAGTATCATTAGCACCAAATGTCAACTTCTTCATTAGCTCAGAACTTCTGCTTGTGTATGATAAGATAGTCAATCAACTGTCTGCCTCAGAGGAATACTTATGCATTAGAAGCATATGACACTTCCAGCATGTCTGCTTATCCATTTATGCATTTCCAGGTCCTCATGCAAATGCTCCTAGACACCATGTCAATAATGAGCTAAGGATGCTGGAGCGTTTTGGGTAAGCGTTTTATAAACTTTTTATTTAAAGAAGAAAATTTCTAATTTTTTAATAGTCAGGAAGTTGTAAGCAAGAATTTCCCCCTTTTTCTGTATAATTTCAGTGGTAAAAACTTCATAATAAAATATCTTGGAAGCTTCAAGAGTGCAAGTTTCGATTGCTTCATTTTGGAGCATGTTGAGCATGATAGGCCTGAGGTAACTATTGGACTTCTTAATAGCTACATTTTTATCTGCGTCTTAATGGCTGCTTTTATTTGTTCTTCTGTTCGATGTTGAATTTGCTTTAACTTACAGGTATTAAAGAAAGAGATAGATCTGTTTCAGTTACAGTGGTATGCTTATTGCCTGTTCAAAGCTCTCGCAAGTCTTCATAAACAGGTACGTAATTGCCCACATTTAATGCATTTATTCTGCTGAAATACATTATCTGAACAATTCTAAATGCCCATGCAGGGAATAGTACATAGAGATGTTAAGCCTGGGAACTTCCTTTTTTCTCGCGAGACCAATAAAGGTTATTTAATTGATTTCAATCTTGCAATGGTTAGTAATATATGTCTTTATCTTCTTATACATTATGCAATTCAGTTAATTGATTGTACTGCTTTTTTCCCAAGGATTTTCTATTCCCCCTAACTCAGATCTGTTCTATTAACTTTTACAGGACTTGTATCAAAAGTACAAAACAGTTGGTAAGTTCCGCATCCTTTCTTCTAAATTCAAATTACGACGTAATGGTTTTAGCTTATGATGAATGAAGAGATGAACATGGACACTGGAATTTCTTGTTGCATTATTTTATCATGGATTAGTAGAATTTGATGTAATAATGTCAAAAACTATTTCCAGTATCTGAAATTTGTCTGCACAACTATAACTTCAACTTCTGTGGCCATTCTCTATTTAAAATCTTCCCTGTTTACTATCTTGTGCCTTACAAATTGTAAGTGATTGTTGATGACACCTTGCTATTATGCTATACATATCACAGACAAATCAAAGGTGGAATACAATACAAGCTTTGATCGTTTTGTTCTTCCTAGCTCAAAATCTGTGTTTTTTCCAAGTAGTACTAAGTTTCCAAGTGCTAAACCATTGGAGGTGGTCAATCCACTAGAAGCTAAGAATGTGAAGAAGAAAGCTGCGAGCCAAAGGAAAGTGCGTAATGAGTTAAATAGTTGGAATAAAATTAATAGTCAAGGTGCAGATGGCTCAGGCATAACCTCGGCAAAGGAGGTAAGCACAAGGACTCAATCAGCAGAAAGACTAAGAGAACCTTTGCCGTGCCAAGGCAGGAAGGAGCTCATTAGCCTATTGCAAGAAGCAATGCAGAGTCAAAAACATGAGGCGTCACGAGTTCCTGCTCCTATGAGAAAGCGAGTTGCTGCTTCTCCAGGAAACGTGGACAGACTGCTAATTAGTCTTACTCCTATGCCTTTGCATGCAACTCCCACTGCATTGTCTGGGGGTGGTGTGATGAAGACAAAAGGTAGATCCTTCTGTTTGACTTTGAAAAATTGTAAGAACAGAAATTTTATTTATCAAAATTGCTTATGTTTAATTTATTTTCAGGTGATGGAAAGCATAAGAAAGAAGGTCCTTGTGCTGGGACAAAAGGCTTCCGCGCTCCAGAGGTGCTGAACCACAATCAACTTTGATTTAGGTTTTTTGGCTAATAAGCACATATTGATTTAGGACTTTGATTCGCTCAAATAATGCCCAAAAAAGCAGATAGGAGGAATTGAACTCCAGAAACTTAATAGTATAATTTGTCTCCATGGTTTTGTGGATCTCAAGTCAATTAATCTTTGCAGGTTTTGTTCAGATCTCTACATCAAGGGCCAAAGGTTGATGTCTGGTCTGCGGGTGTTACCTTACTCTACCTAATGATAGGAAGATCACCCTTTTTTGGTGATCCTGAACAGTAAGACTTTTTCTTTTATCTAAGATGACTTACTATAGTATAAGCTTTGTCACGTTACCAAAATGAAGAAAAGCATCGTCATATATTTTTGCCACAAATTATAACCTTGAGGTCCTTGACAATTGCAGGAATATAAAAGATATTGCAAAGTTGAGAGGTAGTGAAGATCTCTGGGAAGTTGCCAAGTTACATAATCGCGAATCTTCATTCCCTGAGGTATTATCTGCATGTTAATCATAATCAATTCGGTTAAATATTTTTAGTTATCTCTTGTATTGAACAGTATTATTTTATCCTAGGATCTTTATGAGAGGCAATCCTTGACATCCATAAACCTACAACACTGGTGTCGATTGAACACAAAAAGAAGAGATTTCCTAGATGAGATACCAAACTCACTTTTTGATCTAGTGGACAAGTGCTTGGTTGTGAACCCACGATTGAGGATTAGTGCAGAAGATGCTCTGAAACATGAGTTTTTTGCCTCAATAAATGAAAGCATGAGAAAGCAAAGGTCTCTCAGGCAGGCACAAGGATTGGACTCCAGAACTAACCTTTTCCATGCAGGAGAAAGACTAGCTAAACCTCCAACTAGAGTTTCTCTCGAGTCTTGAACAAGCCTTGATACATCATAGGAGTAATAATGTATCTAAACTTAGTCTGATTTTTTTTATTTTATTGCAGCTTTTAGATAGCTTTTTGTTGCTCTTACTACTGTAAATTTGCTCGACCTTCTGTTATTAAAAAAAAAAAAAATTGTAGCCTTCTGTAATTGTAAATATGTATGTTGGAGTAATTAAGAAGAAGAATAATGTTCTCTACACCCTTCCTAATTCAGCTATCAATATGAATCAGATTTTCAAATTCAAGTGATTCTTCTTCAAATTTTAAAGCATTTAATTAGTTCATTGAGATTTTGAATTCAATTAATGTTTTGAAAAAATTTTTCTCTTAAATTGTAAATTGTTAAAAAAAAAAAACTATCAATATAAAATTTTTTAACCAAAGCAAAAAAAATAACAAAATAATCTCTATTTAATAATTTAAGCCATGTTTTGATGAAACCGAAAAATTAGTAGTACTTATTGGTAGTATTGACGTACTTTTATTTTAGTATTTTTTTAATAAAAATATTAAAATTATAATTTACGTAATATAATAAATAAGGACAATTATACATACACCTTCTCAATCAACACCAATCTCAACACCTAAGGTTAAAATGAGGAGGGGTAAATTTGTAATTTTACTGTTCATAAGCTTTGGGTGTTGAGATGGGTATTGATTGAGAGGTTGTATGTATAATTATCCAATAAATTTACAATATAAATTTAGTTATTTGAATTTTTTTAAAATGTTATTTTGTTTTGTACATTAGATATATTTTTTAATGAGTTAGAATTTATTTACAATATTATTTATATAAAGCTTCGACCATTATTCTTTGTATTATTAACAGTTGAGATTTATTATTATTATTTAGATAAAAAATGATTAATTTTAAAAATAAAATAAAAATAAATAAATTTTAATTAAAAAATAAATAATTAAAATTTTATATAGATTTGTACATTAGATATATTTTTTAATGAGTTAGAA